ACGCGCAGCCGGGGGGATACGAGACGCACCGAGGGAACGGGGGCCGGGGGAGAGCCCCCGGGTACGGTGAAACCCCGCGCTGACCTTCAGGCCTGCCCGCCGCCCGCGCCGGGGGGAGGCAAAGGCTGCTCCTGGGGCTTGTAGGCAAGGGACGCAGGTGCGACCTTGTCGCTTGTCCTTTGCCTTCGCGGGGCAGCTCGTGCAGTCAAGTAATTTCCTTATGCCTGGGCAAACCCGTCCGTCGTAACGCTTGCTCGTGAGCGGAGCGAAGCTTTCGCTCGTCTCGCAATCCTACACCCCGTTACGGAGCAGCCGCGTGACCTTTCCTGGGCTAAATTGCTGACCCCCTTCCTCCTGCAGGATGAGCGGTGTGTGGAGCAGTTCCTCTCTCTGATTGCCAGGCTATTTTTAAGTGACAATAAATGCCAAAGTATCAGTCACACGGTACCTTACCCTTTGAGGCATCAAAAAGACAAGACAATCGCAGGCGGTCGGTAACCCCTTCCGCGGCTCTGAAAGCCAGGCTGAAGGTTTTCCAAGGTCAATTCCTAAGATTGTGGGCCTCGCCTAAAAATTTTCGGATGAAGAACTCTGCCTCTAGCGGGTCCCATCGCAGGATCTAGAAGTATTGATCGCAAAGTCTGCTGCTTTTGTGATCAGCCCACTTGTGCACCCATGCCCGGGTTAGCTTGCCCCGGGAGTGTTAGTAATAAAACCGGCAAAGCAGCTGTGCTGCAGCCGCAGTGTTCGTCCAAAGCGCTGGGAGGGGAACCCCCTGCCCTCCGCCCGCTTGGAAATTCAGGGGGGCTGTCACTCAGGGCTGCTTCTGACCCCGGGCGACGGCATCTCGTGTAGTGGTGTGTTGCAAACGGGTCCCGCGCTGATGGTAAATCACTAAAGAGGCAGCGAATGATGCGGGTATATTGGTGCAATGAATGATCGGAAAGAAGGTTCCTAGCGACGCCGTAGCATTAACGCAGACGGGTGCTTTACCACACAGTGTCAGTGCTTGTATGCAGGATGTGTCCCCACTGGAGTCAACGCCTCTGCTCCCACAGTTCAGGGCTGTAGGGCCGGGCCCTGAGCTTGGGCACTGTTTTAATCCGAAGGCAGCTGCCCCCCCGGCAGCGATGCACAACCCCTTCAGAAGCAGGTCGCCCGCGTGGCAGAGCCGGGCACGTGTTACTGTGCGGTAAGACATCTCTGACGGCACTGTTGGTCACGCGTGGGCAGATTATCCGCTGTTACGTGTTGAGGGCAGGGGAACTCGGGATTTAATGGGATCAGGTCTTATGTCTGGAGCAGCCAAAATAATTAATCAGCTTTGCTGGAAAACCAGGTGATCTGACCTTGCCAGTGCCAAACTTCATCGAGGCAGGCAATAAAGCACTTAATGTTTTAAAAGCGTGGCTCCAAGTAAGATCTTAAAATGCTGGCATTGCCGCACTGTAGTATTCTTCTGTGATTTACCTCTGCCCACCCTTGCCTGCACACGCACTCACACACACACACGCATTTGGTCTTCAAATCTGCCCCATTTTGAGCTTTGGAATATTCCAGAAATCTGTATCTGTCAGGATCTTGGCTTGAATTTATCGTGTTTTTATGCTTGCTGCCTTATACAACACCTGATAAAAGATAAGCTG